TTTGTTTTTCTCGATTTTTTTGAAAACTGTTGGAAAATGTTTACTTTTGACCTGTATAATGCACCAAGGGTATTCACTTTTCCATCGGAAACTACCCCCAAAGTTTGAAATTGAAGCATTATTTTGACTAGTTATGCTGAACACAGACACAAAAAAAACACATATCTCTGTAAWATCAATACATTTATCACTCCGTTCAGAATCTAAAAAGTAGAAGTTAATTTTAAGTTAACGTACATAAAAATAAGTTAAGTTAATAAGTTAAAATTAACTTAACTTTTAACTTATTAACTCGTTAATGTCCAGCCTTGAAAAGATCCAATGTTAGGAATGATATAAATTGAAGAAACACTTCTTTTAATTCGATTCCAGTTTCAGCATTTGATTTAARAGCAACATATTTGTTGCTGGTTTCAAAGTTTTCCATAGTAATACAAGTTCTAATATTTTATGTATTATAAATTAAATATATAACATTAAGTATAATGTAAGGCATCTGTGTGATTGTTGATTATATATTTTATAATGATTAGAATCATAATATACGTATATGATCTAAGATGTTATTAGTATTGCGGATACATATGACAGGCATATTATAATCTTTTGTATAGGTGTGCGGAAGCAGTACTCGTACATTAATGATTTATGACGCAAAAACTAATAAGTGATACTATCAGTTACTTGTCGGAATGAGGTTAATTTATTACAATTTCTAGTCTAGAATATCTCTCAAGCGTAGAGATTCACATTAATTAATGTTGTTCATTCATTACAATTTATTTAAACTAYTCCCCCACATTATGATTGCAAAAAAGGTTTCCATATGAATTTCTAAATTTGACCACACAAAACCCTCYAAAAATGTTGTTAACAATTATAAAATTGTGAAATCATATTAGAGTTTTCTAAATAAAAAAACTTTTGTTCTATAAATTATTCACTATTTTAAATAATTTTATGATACAATGACTTTAACTTAAATTTTGAAATTACCCTGTA